TGGTTTTCGGGGCCGGGTGGGCCGTGTCACGTGACCTCGGCGAGAGGCCGCGTCGGATTCAGCCACCTCCCACCTCCCTCCCACATCCCAGGCAAGCACGGCCCCGCCCTTGTCGGCGCCATTGTTATCTCGGTGGCGGTCTCGGTCTACCGGCGGCCGGCGTGGGGGTGGGGGTGGGGGTGGGGGGGTTCCTCCTTTACTCCCTGGCTTTCGGGGAAGCGTGAGAAAACTGGGGTTTGTTCCTCCCCGCCATGGGGGGCGGCGAAGTTCCCGCTGAATATTTGCACACGGTCCCAGTTATTCTACCCTGCAACACCCCAACCCTGGCAACTTGGCTAAGGGGAATGGGTGGGTGGGGGAGGGGGTGTACTTTTCTAGCACGGGAGAGCCCCGGAACATGTCCTGCGGGGGGCGGGGGAGGGGATGGATGTGTTGTAAAGGTGTGGTTATTTACCCAGGGAAGAGGATTAGACCCCGTACCAAAAGTTGTCTCTAGGCGAGGGAATCTTAACTTGCTTTTGTTCATTCAGTGTACCTATTTTTGATGGTGGTGGTGGGGAGCAAATCTTAAAATAATAGCTCGCTTTTATTCGGGGCTTTCCTTTGCGAATTACTGTACGAAACGCTTTAGAGGAGTTTTTCCATTTTACTCTTATACTAGAAGGTTTCACTCTGAAACTAGTATCTGAAACTAAATGCCTTCCTACATTAGAATATAAACTCCCCAAAGTGGTCCTCAACGCTGTCTCGCATAGTGCCTGCCAGCTCAGAATCTTCAGTCAAGTGTGGAATTAATGAATGAGGCGTGCCTTTTTTAAAGGTAAAGAATTTGAGGCAGAGAGATTGTGTAACTTGTCCAAAATCCCCACTGCGCTGGTGATGAATTGTATTCTAACCTGAAGGCTGGCTCCACAGCCTGAGTTTAAGCAGGATTCCAGTACAACTTAAACTTTCATTACCATCCACTGCAGACCTACATACACACCTTGCTTTGTTAAAGTTCATAGAGTAGTTTCTGGCCAGGTATCTGAAACAAAACAAAATTCATTCTGTAATTTGGTGGAATGTTAAATTGACTTTCCCTCAGGATAAGGACTACTTTTCAGTTTGCAGTTTACCATTTATAAGCTTCATTTTTTTTTTTAATTTTTTAAAATGTTTATTTGTTTTTGAGACAGAGAGAGACAGAGCATGAATGGGGGAGGGTCACAGAGAGGGAGACACAGAGTCAGAAGCAGGCTCCAGGCTCCAAGCTGTCAGCACAGAGCCTGACGTGGGGCTTGAACTCAAGGACCATGAGATCATGACCTGAGCCGAAGTCAGATGCTCAACCGACTGAGCCACCCAGGCGCCCCTATAAGCTTCATTTTGAGAACATCGATATTGATTGTCTAGGATGTGTACTAGGGAAGGTATCCTGAGGGTTCTCAGTCAACGTTATGCAATGAAGATGATTTGAATCCTTGAATAGCCAGTCTTCTAGATCAACTCCCCAGTTACTAACCAGAAGAGCATAATGTGTCATACCTAAATGGTATCTGTGGCACTTTATCCCAAGAGGTTGTTCCAATATAGTGTGTTAGTCACGTTAATACCTCTTGGACAATCCAAGGAAGAATCAGGAAATAGGATATGTCACATCAGTTTTGACATGTCAACAGTATGTAAACCAAACCTATTCCACCCCAAACCTGCTTCTGCTTTGTTGCCTGGTATTAACAGCCTCCCAGTCACCTGAACATGAAAGGCCAGAATCATCTTCACTCTTCCTGTTTTCCCTCATAAACCATTGTCCATTCTAATACCAAAAATTCTCTAATCCCCAAATCTGTGATCTAATCCCAACACTCAGGCTGTGGTAGTATTAATATAAACAGGAATTAATGCACACACCTGTCTTCAATCATTCTGTATGCTTCAGCCAGTCATTCTCCTCAGAAATGCTCAAGGATATCTCATTTGCAAAATAGAGTCCAAACTTCTGTAGTCCTGTCCCACATTTCTTTCATTCTGTTTCTATGGTCTCCCTCTCCCCAAACACTTGCTTTGTATCCTAATCACACTGGTCTATTCTGTTCCCAGAATGTTGTTGGTATGTTATCATCTTGGCATTTTTGATCATTTTGTTCTCTCCCTCCCAGAACACTGTTACCACCCATCACTGCAGGTTTCACTTTGGCCAGGACACCAACTCCTCTGGATGGCATCTGAAGATACAGTGGACCCTTGAACAATGCAGGGGTTAGGGGCACTGACCCCACACAATTGAAAGTCTGCATGTAATGTTTGGCTCCCCCAAAACTTGAGTACTAATAACCCAGTATTGACCAGAAGCCTTACCAATAACATGTTGTATGTTAAATGTATTATATACTGCACTCTTACGATAATACCTAACTTTCACTTAATTTTTTTGGTATTTCTAGGCTATGCCATTGCAAATTTTTTCAAAATTTTGCAGATCTCCAAAAAATTTTCTGATAGATTTATTTTAAAAAATCTGCGTGGGGCGCCTGGGTGGCGCAGTCGGTTAAGCGTCCGACTTCAGCCAGGTCACGATCTCGCAGTCTGTGAGTTCGAGCCCCGCGTCGGGCTCTGGGCTGATGGCTCAGAGCCTGGAGCCTGTTTCCGATTCTGTGTCTCCCTCTCTCTCTGCCCCTCCCCCGTTCATGCTCTGTCTCTCTCTGTCCCAAAAATAAATAAACGTTGAAAAAAAAATTTTTTTTTTTTTAAATCTGCGTATAAATGAATTCACACAGTTCAAATCTGTGTTGTTCAAGGGTTAACTGTACTTTTACTGGATTTAGTTATCTTTTTCCTGTAGTTTCACGCTACTTCACTTTACTCTCTGTAGTGGTTCTAATACCAACTTATTTTACAGTGCCTACACTTTTCTCCTCAGGTTTTTGTTCCCATTAGGGAAGCTAAAATCTCATTAGGATTTTAAAGTTCTAAAGGACCGAGACCGTTATTTATTCATCATTTCAATTCCTCACAAAGCATCTTTGAGATAACAAGGGCCTCGAAAATATTTGTGAACCTAATTATAGTTAGAGTGGTGAGCATTTGATTGGAGAAGACCTCACAAATAACACAGGGATGCGGAAATTTATAAATTGGTAGGAACTCCCCATTTCATTGTTCTAGGATATTGCTTCCTCATTTATTTTCTTCTACCAATTTGGTCTTTTAATTCACCTCCTTCATGAATACATTCCACAATGTTTTGTAGTTTAGTCATAATGTTTGTCTTAAAGAGTACCGTGCCAGTGGCTAAGCACTTTTAAGATCTGCTGCCAGAGACTGAAATGCCACAGTAAAGCTTTTCTCTTGCTGCTGCCACTCACAATATGCCTGTGTTTTTTTCCTAGCCCCAGTTAACTGAGGAGGACTGATAAGTGCATATATTTTAGTGTCAAATGTGGAGTCCTACTAATTGACAGATTTTGTTAAGGAAGCTACAAAGTGGACAGACCCTAAATAAAGTTACAGACTTGAACACAGCCCTTAGTGCTTCCTTTGCTCTCAAATCTATATACATCCACTCACAAATTCCCAGCACTTTACGTCTCTCTGTCACCCCTGGCACTCTTACCCTATATATTCTACCTTCTCTTCCAGGACGTCTTTCCTCCATTGTGTAGTTGAAGAATGAATCATAGATAGTAATGACTGGTAACATTTTGTTTTAACTGGGACTACCTGGAGGCAAACCTAAAGGTAATTCTAACATAAGGAAACGTGGGCATGATGGCAAGGCAATGAGAAAAAAATTATGGGAACTTGAGCTAGTCATGTTTAAAAAGTTTGTGTCTTTGCCCGGCTAAATGCAAGCCTCGGTTCAATTGTCATGTACCTAAGGAACTTCTAAGCCCACCAATTCTAAAGTAGCATCTCTTTATATCAAAGTATTGTTTTCTTTGTAACATTTATCACTATGTGAAATGATCTTAATTGTTGGTTTACTTGATGGTTATTTATCCCCACTAGAATATAAATTCCAAGAGAGAGGGATTGGCTTATATTTCACTATATTCCCATCATAGACACAAAGTAGGTACTCAATAGTTATTTGTAAAAATGAAAGAATTGAATGAACGCTTATACGTACAGACATCCCTTCATTTACATGCTTTCAAGTCATTTAAAGTGCTTGGGGGAGAAGAATATTTATAATAACTATATGAAAATTACAGTACACAATTTGTTCAAATGTGAAATGTCTCTTAAGCATTTGTTTTTTTAGTTTTTCATTTACAAGTTTTTCATAGTTTCTAAAAGACTGGAATCCTATAAATTCCATTCAGATTCTAACCTAGGTGCTCTGTATCCCCTGTTTGTGTAAAACATGACAAATATTTACTAAATACACTTTCACCAAAACCTGACAAAGTTGTAGCCCCAATTTAAAGAAAATCTCATGCTTACATATCCAGAGTTTGAGTTGCACAATATTTTAAGAAGTTGATATGCATTATTGTATAACACCCCTCAAATTTTAACATATTTAAATACTATTTAAAGCCTATTTATTAAAATGTAAATGTTCTGAAAGACTTTAAGTAGTTTCTGTAACACAGGTACCAAATAACTTCACAGAATTTAAAGTAGTTCTTTAGGCTGAAAGAACTACGTGCACTGTGCTTGTACATGCACAAGGAAGGACCTAAATTAATGGTCACAACCAGAGAAGTGGTTACTTTTATCCTGATTGCCATAAAATTAGTAGGCCAATGGCCAGGAGGAGGAAGCCCACGGTTGAACCCATCCTGAGGGGACTGCTTTGCTAGAGAAACCGAAGAGAAGTTAGTGAACATTTTCTCCAGTGCCCAAAACCACATCCTCCTTGTTTTCTTGCCCTCCAGATTTGGTCAAGAAGGAGGAAAAGAGAGGAGAGAGGGAGGGAAGGAGAAAAAGAAGAAGGGGGAGAGAGAGAGGGAGAGAAACTGACTGGAGAAAGTCGGGGAGAAATGGGCGGGATCCTGCCCCGAGAAACAATTGCGCGTTAAGCCACGCCCCTGTTTCCTAGGTAACCGGGTAAACAGACCTTAGTCTCCTTTCTGCTAGGTGTTATTTCGTAGGCAGGAAGCTGTGGGCAGGGAGTCCGAGTTGAGATGTGTTCTTTCGTGAGAGTGGGGTCCCCCAAAGGTTTGGGGCACCCCAAGGGATTAGGAACTTTCCTTGAGCCAGGTATAGACTTCCCCTTTGAGATGAGTGCTGTTGGAGGAATGGGGGTGTCTGAGAGGAAATCTCCCCAGAGCATAGAGGATGGGCCCACTCACGAAGGGAAGGATGATTTAGGAGATTTAGGAGAGAGGGGGGTCGTCATGGGAACAAAATCTCCCACAGAGTTAGGGTTGAGAGTGGGATTAAGAAAAGAAGATTCCTCATGTAGGGAGAACCTCTTGGTTAGTAATAAATTTGAGAGGAATGCATCACCCGAAACAAAATCTCTGTTGAGCAAGGAGCTTGAAATGAAATTAAAAAGACAGAATACGTCTAGGACCCTCACGGAGAGGAGTAATTTAGGAGTCTATGGGGTCTCAGCCTCACGGGAAACAAAACCTCTGGGTACGGTGCCAGGAGGAGGGGGTTTAGAAAATGAGTGTCTTCTGGCAGGGTGTTCTGGAAGGATAATACAGCCTCCCTTAGGCATGGTAGGCGAAAGTCCACAGGCTCTAGGGAGCAGGAGAGGCTCTGCAGCTGGTTCCCCTAAAGCGTTAGGGGCTTCAGTAGGGAAACAGCCTGCTTTGGATATGGATCCTAGACAGGAACTGGGAAGAGGTACCTGTGTGGTAATGGAGCCCAGTGCAGAGGTGAAGCCTCCTGCAGTGGTAGACACTGGTCTAGAAGAGCCAGATGAAACAGGCCCCCAAATGGGCTTGGTGATAGAACCTTCTGAGTGCCAGTTTGCCCAACAACCAGAAGAGAGAAAAGAGACTGAAAACAATGAACCTGGAGTAGAACCTCCAGATTGCATCAGACCTATATACTCTGGGAAATTTTTTGATCGGATGCCTTGCTGGCCAAGTGTAAGTTTTTTTTCTAGTTCTTTTCCTAGGAACTGTGGAATGTCCTGTCTTTACCAGGATGACAAACTGATGAGACTTGTTTGGGTTCGTGGAGTCAAACTGCAAAGATTTCATTGGGATTCTGATATTCCTTGTCCTGTTGGATTCTTTCCAGCTTTCACTTTGATCTCCTCTCATGCTCTGCCTCTCTTCCTAGATCTCAGCTTTGTTTTCTGTGCACACCAGTGATTCCTCTTGATTTCTCCTGCCTTTCTCCTTTGACTTTCATTCTATTTCTCAATCTGCATTTTCTCAGCCCTTTCACTGAGATACATGTTGTATCCTCCTAGTCATGTAATGAAGGGAAAGAAAAACACATTTTCTCCTATTCATTATTTATTCTGTGAGTTATTCATTCTTTCAGCAAAGACTTGCGGTGGCCATTTTGCTGGATGCAGGAAAATATAAAATAAAAAATACATGATCTCTACAATCTACATTTAGGCACTCATTTCAATGTTGGAGACAGCTTATAGATGTCCAAATGAATGCAAAACAAATGCGATTCTTCCTTAATAGAGATATACTCTAAGCACAGAGTTCCGTGGAGAAGTTGGACAGCTCTGAAGGAGATGGGAAATACTTTGCCTAGCAAGTAATATTTGAGCAAATTTAGACATATCAGATGGAAAACAAGGTTGGAGCATTTTTGGCAAAGAAAGGCATAAAGCATGATCAGAGTTTCTTGTGTTTGGGAAATATAAGCAATTCTTTTTATCCAGCATGGTGTTGAGAGATACAGATGAAAAAGAAATATGTGGATGGGGGTGCCTGGGTGGCTTAGTTGGTTAAGCATCCGATGTTGGCTAAGGTCATGATCTCGCAGTTTGTGAGCTTGAGCTCCATGTAGGGCTCAGTGCTGACAGAGCCTGCAGTCTGCTTCTGATTCTGTGTCTCCTTCTCTCTGCTCGCACTGTCTCTCTCTCTCCAAAAATAAATAAACAACAACAACAAAAGAAATCTGTGGACAAAATCTAAATGTCCAGAATGCAGGGGTAAAACATACGGATACAAAGCAATGGTAGATAAAATTTGTCTTTTGGAAAGATAATTCTGACATCAGTAGTAATGATGAACTGGAAGGGGGAGATAATGGATGACAGGAAACAGAAGGCTTTATGAAAGTAATTATGGACTGAAATTAATGTAGAGTTAGAATAGAGAGGAGAGTGCAGTTTTGAAAGCTTTTCAGGAGATGATATTGTTAAGAATTGCTATCCATTTGTTCATCTATGTGGTGAAAGACAGGAAAGTTGATGCATGACTTAAAAGTTTCTAGGTTGATAATGATCTCTTCTGGTTTGGTGGCAAATGAGTGTCTGGTGTTGGCCGTCCTGAGTTTGAAATATCTACAAGTATCAGATGAAGAAGCCAGGGAGCCCATTGGTAATGTGAGACAGTTGGAGCCATGAGTAGCATAGAAGTGTCTAGGTAAGAACCTTGGGAAACACATTAATGTGGTGGTCAGAGAAAGAAATATGAATTGGGTGAGCTTTTGAGAAGGACTTTTACCTTATTTATTGTGCAGCTTCATGGCATATCACAATGCCTGGCTTATGGTGATCATTTGGTAAATCTACGATAAATGGAAGGAAGGCTGGATTAATAAATAGGATGGGGCACCTGGGTGGCGCGGTCGGTTAAGCGTCCGACTTCAGCCAGGTCACGATCTCCCGATCCGTGAGTTCGAGCCCCGCGTCAAGCTCTGGGCTGATGGCTCGGAGCCTGGAGCCTGTTTCCGATTCTGTGTCTCCCTCTCTCTCTCTGCCCCTCCCCCGTTCATGCTCTGTCTCTGTCTGTCCCAAAAATAAATAAAAATGTTGAAAAAAAAATAAAAAAAAATAAATAGGAGAATGAACAGTTAGAGAAGAAAGAGGTGAGTCTGAGAGGGTGGTATTGAGTTATACAAAAAAAGCATCCTTAAGATATTCTGAGAATAAAAGACTCCACACACTGAGATTTGACAATACAATTCTGCTGAAGTGGTCATGGGGATTCTGCAGATTTTCTTCTGCAACTGCAGACTTTTTTGTTCCCCTTGGGATTCAGGGTGTTCTTTTGTCTTTGACCCACTTTGCTTTCTGGTTCCATTATTGGATTTCCCCAGCCAAGTGCTTTCACTTGACCACACCTGCTTCTCCTTTCTGGATTGGTTCTATAGTCTATGGCTTCAGACCTGATCTCAGACACAGGCTACCAGCTTTCAGTTTCCAACAGAGGCAATTCTAAAACCTGTTCTTCCTCCTCCTCTCACATCCTCCTTTCTAAGTGTGATAGGACCGTAAAGAGAATTTCAAGGAGAAAGTGACTAGAAGTGTTAAAACACCTGTGATCGGGTAAATAGGATATATATTAATTAGTTTTGAATGTTAAGGAAATTAACAACATTGTTAGAATGGCATAACGGAAAGAGAATTCAGATTCCAATATACCGAAGAGTGAATGGGAAATTCAAATTGAAGAAAGTTATTGTGAATTTTTTTTTCCTTAGGAAGTGTGACAGTGAAGAGAGTAAAGATTACAGTTAGGAATCTATTTATTTAGTGAATCATTAGAGGAGTTTGAGATAACAGAAAAGAGATAATGGATGGAACCAGGTCCTAGATAAACAGGAGGGAGTGGAATTAGAATATAGGCAAGAGAAGAGATTAGCATGAATTAGAAATAGTATGTTTTAATATTAAAATATGCATTTTTACTGTAAAACAAAAATAATATCATAGAAAGTTTAGAAAATGGGAATGAAAACACTCAGAATCTTATCTCCCTAATACAATGCCTACTAGCACTCTGCTGCATTCACATTAATGTTTATTGGCAGCTTACCATATCAACATCACAGCTCATGGAGCTTTGCAGGTATTAACTCATTTGCTGTCACAACTCCTCTATGAGACAGCTGCTATTATTTTTTAAAATTTATTTATTTAAATTCAAGTTAGTTAAATACGGTGTAGTATTGGTTTCAGGAGTAGAACCTAGTGATTCATCACTTACATATAACACCCAGTGCTCATCCCAACAAGTGCCCTCCTTAATGCCCATCACCCATTTAGCACATCCCCCACTGACCTCCCCTCCACCAACGCTCAGTTGCTTCTTTTTATTTAAGAGTCTCTTATGGTTTGCCTCCCCCCGTTTTTATCTTATTTTTCTTTCTCTTCCCCTATGTTCACCTGTTTTGTTTCTTAAATTCCACATATGAGGGAAATCATATGATATTTGTCTTTCTCTGACTGACTTATTTCATAGCATAATACACTCTAGTTCTATCCATGTTGCAAATGGCAAGACTTCATTCTCTTTGATTGCCGAGTACTGTTCCATATATACACCACATCTTATTTATCCATTTATCAGTTGATGGACATTTGAGCTCTTTCCATAATTTGGCTATTATTGAGAGTGCTGCTATAAACATTGGTGTGCATGTGCCCCGTCGAAGCAGCATTTTATATCCTTTGGATAAATACCTTGTAGTGGAATTGCTGGTTATAGAGTAGTTCTGTGTTTTTAAATGTTTGTTTATTCTTTTGAGAGAGAATGACAGAATGAGAGCAAGGGGCAGAGAGAGAGGGAGACACAGAATCTGAAGCAGGCTCCAGGCTCTGCACTGTCAGCAAGAGCCCAACATAGGGCCTGGACTTGAAAACTGCGAGATCATGACCTTAGCTGAAGTCAGCCGCTTAACCAACTGAGCCGCCCAGGTGCCCCTAGAGTAGTTCTATGTCTAATTTTTGGAGGAACCTCCACACTATTTCCCAGAGTGGCTGCACCAGTTTGCATTCCCACCAACAGTGCAACAGTGTTCCCCTTTCTCCACATCCTTGCCAACATCTGTTGTTTCCTGAGTTAATTTTAGCCTTTCTGACAGATGTGAGGGGTATCTCATTGTGGTTTGGGTTTGTATTTCTCTGATAATGAGTGATGTTGAGCATCTTTTCCTGTGTCTCTTAGCCATCTGGATGTCTTCTTTGGAAAAAGGAACAGCTGCTATTATTAAATTCCATTTTATAGATGAGAAACTGAGGCAAATCAGGGAATTTGGCCACAGTTATATTACTAGGAGGTGTTAGCCTCCGGATTTGAAGTCACAACTTCAGAGTCAAGAGTTTGTATCGTTGACTATACGACATTTCTTGTGACACTTTTCTCCAAATGCATTTTAATGTAGTTGTTACACTAAACATAGTTTTTCTTGATTTTTCACTAATTATCATTTAATAATATTTCAGTGTTATTACAGAGACCTTCAAAGATCTCTTATTGATAAAAAAATCAATATTGGGGCACCTGAGTGGCTCAGTCGGTTAAGCATCTGACTCTTGATTTTGGCTCATGATCTCGTAGTCATGAGATCGAGTCCCATATTGGGGTCTGTGCTGAATGTGGAACATGCCTGGGATTCTCTCTCTCCCTCTCTCTCTGCCCCTCCCTGCCCCCCTCCTTCAAAATAAATAAAATTAAAAAAATATTTTTCTTTAAGCCAATATATGATTTTTTAGCTAATTCATTCTCTCTCTTGTTGGACATTAGATTTTTTTCCCCAGATTTTTCTGTTTTCTATGAAAGTAGTCTGTGAACATCTTTATATATCTTGGAATATTTCCTTAGGATAGAGTTATAGCAGAAGCCAACAAATGGATCTTTTTCTAGTTACTGTTGCCAAATCCCTTCCTAAAAGATTGTACCACTGAATTTTAAAAATTAATAATGGTTTGTAGGGCATTGTTTTAATTCACATTTATTGTTTATGTGATGAGATTGAAAATTGTTTCATATGTTTCTTTTCATTGTTTTTCTTTCTTTCTTTTTTTTTTTTTTCTTATTAGAGAGCATGGAGGAGAGGGACAGAGGGAGAGAGAAAGAGAATTACAAGCAGTCTCCACACTCAGTGTGGAGCCTGATGTGGGGCTTGATCCCATGACTTTGGGATCGTGACCTGAGACAAAATCAAGAGT